GAATGCAGTCAGGATGCAGAGGTTTGACCCTGGCTGGATTCCTGGCACCCACCACTCTCTCTATTGCTCCCCTCCACTGCTGGACAGGGGAGAGAAAAGACAATWAAGGTTCATGAGCTGACATAAGGACAAAGACAGATTACTCAACAAATACCATTTTGGGCTAAACAGACTTAGCATGGGGATATTAATAATATTTATTACCATCTAAACCAGAGCAGGATAAGAGAAGTAAAATAAATATTCAATTCATGTTTCTCCACCGCTCCCTCCTTCTCAGACTCTGCTTCCTCCCCCTTAGTGGCACAGGGAATGGGTGTTGTGGTCAGTCCATCAAAGATTATTCCTGCAGCTGCTCAGGGAGAGGAGTTCTTYCCCTCTGCTCCAGTGCTGGGTTCCKCCCACAGGAGACAGTTCTCCATGAACTTCTCCAAAGTGAGTCYATCCCATGGCAACAGTTCTCCAGAGCTGCTTCAATGTGGGTCACTCTTCCATGGCATGCAGTCCTTCATGCAGTCCTCCAGCCTGCTCCAGCCTGGRTCTCCCACAGGGTCACAAGTCCTACCAGGAAACCTGCTCTGGTGTGGGTTCCTCTCTCCATGGTCTGCAGMTCCCTGCCAGGASGCTGCTCCAGCACAGGCCTCCCACAGGGTCASAGCCYCCWCTCAGCATCCCCCTGTTCCAGCGTGGGTTCCTCACAGGCTGCAGGTGGATCTCTGGATCTCCAGGGACCTCCATGGGCTCAGGGGCACAGCTGCCTCACCATGGGCTGCMCCACGGGCYRCAGGGCAACCTCARCTCTGGTGCCTGGAGCACCTCCTGTCCCTCCTTCTGCACTGACCTTGGTGTCTRCAGGGCTGTTCCTCACATACTCTCTCTCTATGCTTCTCTGGCTGTGATTACATTTGMACAGTAACTTTTTATCTTTCTTAAATCTGTTATCACAGAGCTGTTGTCACCATTTCTAATCAGCTCAGCCTTGCCAGTYCATCCTGGGGCTGGCTGGGATTGGATCTGTGGGACAGGGAGGAAGCTTCTGGCAGCTTCTCACAGAAACCATCCCTGTAACACCCCCCTACCAAAACCTGGCCATGCAAATCCAACACACAGGGACACACCAGCCTTAGATTTTGAGAGCTAACATGGCAAGGAGCAGATAAAAAAGTAGCAAACATACTGGGCAMATTCTCCTGAATTTTTTGTGCCCTGCTTGCTGCAGGGCAAGCAGAATTTCCAGCAAACACAGGACTGGCTGGGGAAGAGCAAAGCTGTTAGTGTGGAGGAAGGAATATGGAGTCAACTTTTCATCCTGTCATTGAGAGAAGTTTTTTCTTTTGTGTGCTATAAATTAAAGAGGAGGGGAAAACYCCAGCCAATGAGGGGTTTGAGGTCGGTGCAGACAAACACAGCAGCAGGGCACTGGTTCTGTGTCTCTCGGTGTGTGCCAGCCCAACTCTGCCCCCAGCAGGTTTATTTTAGCCAGGTCTGMAGCACAGACTGAGCTCTGCACCTCGGGCAGCTTCCCTCCTGCCTTGCTGCCTGCAGGGATGAGCACAGCCCAGCTCAGGAGAGCCCTGCAATCAGCTCCAGCTACCAGCACACCTGTGTCCTTCAGACACTGTTTCAGAGCCAAAGCCCCTCGTTTTGTGCATGTCCTGGGCACCAGAGAAGTTCAGGTGTCTTCACTTTCCTGGGTGCTGACCTTGTGCACTCCCAATGGCATTACTGCAGCTTCACCAGTTGAACACAGGATCTGGAGGGTCTCCATGGCCTGAGACACATTTGCTGGGCCCTGTCAGSATTCATCATGCCTTTCTCTCCGAGGTGGTGAAGAAAGAGTGTCACTTGAGGCAGCAAAGTTGTCMAGGCAATAACCCAGTCACTTAAGGAAGGAAAGAGAAAGGCTGAGCTGTTTATGGCTAGAGTCACTGCYCAGGGCTGTCCTGGGCTCTGGCTGGCACAAGATCCCCTCCTGCCTGCAGCTGCCACACATGCACTCATCTTTCAGATAGCTGGAAATATTGCCCTCCTGCAAAATATTGCCCTCCTCCTTCTCTATAATCTAAACACGAGAGGAAGAATGTTAATGTTCAGATTGAAGTACTGCTTTCCAGCTTTTGTTTCTATGGCAATAGTCGAGCATCAGCAGCACAATCCTTTTTGCAGAAGTATGGGCACAGATGCTATGAGTCGTAGAATGATTTAGGCTGGACAGGATCTGCCAGACCATTGAGTCCACTGTAAAATCTAACACTGCCAAGTCCTCCACTGCCACCAGCCCCAAAGCAGAGGTCTCACTTGCAGCTGGTTTACAAGATTTTGTGCATTTCCTAAGTGAGCTATTCAATTCTGTTCAACTCAAACTTCCCATTGCATTAAATTCCCCTTTGGTAGGACTCTACACTCTCATCTGTGCTATCCTGTAGTGGAGACACTTCAGACACAAGCACAAACACTGATTTTCCTCAGTTTCCACTTTTTAAAAATCTCTTCTGCCTCAGAAACAAATCAGTGGACTGTAACCTGACTATATTTAAAGCAGGCAAGTTCCTCTTTCACTCTGAAACCGCTTGTTTGCTCACACTGAGTTCAGCAAGCATGACTTTTCCTTGCAACCTGCTTTCCAGCCAACTCTCCCAGGGTGTCTGACCCCTCTGCTCAATCTTTCTCATCCAGTAAAAGATCATCCCCTGCAGCAGCTCACCTCTGTCCACAACAGCCATGATTTACACCTTCTGGTTTCCCCAGCGCTCTCCTGTCCAGCTGCAGGGCCCCCAGCACTGCAGAGTGGGTGAGCACAGAGGGGAGTGACAGCCACCATCCCCCTGATGTGCAGAGGGGAGTGACAGCCACAGTCCCTCTGATGTGCAGAGGGGAGTGACAGCCACCATCCCCCTGATGTGCAGGAGCTGTGGACACCTGGGCTGAACACTGACCTGCTAATATCTGAGTGTTTCCCTGGGATTTATCTCGGGGAATCTGAAGGTCTTTTTCAGAGAAACAGGACAGGTGTCTCAATGCATGCTTGGGGACATCAG